TCCACCCCTCCATCCCCCTTCCTTTCCTCCATCCATCCATCCATCCATCCATCCCTCCATCCCCCCTTCCTTCCCTCCAGCCATCCCTCCCTCCTTCCCTCCATCCATCCCTCCCTCCCTCCCTCCATGGTGTCCGGGCTCAGCACTCCCAGACCTGCAGCACACAGTGGGGTCTTTAGCTGGTATGCCCCGTGCGCAGCGGGTGTAAGCTTTGTTTCGGGGCCTGTGGCTTCATCGGTGCGGGGTACTCCCGGCGAGGAAAGTGGAAGCGTCCGTGGTGCGCCTGGAGCTGCCCAGGAGGCTCCCGGGCGGTGCCGGGGCGCCCCGAGGCTGTCCCCGGACCCTCTCCAGCAGGGATGTACACGAGAAGGAGGGATGCGTCCGGCTGCCTCTGGCCCCAGCTGGTCTTCCCCCCGGCCCCTCCCGTTAGATGCTCCTTTACTCTGAGTCTTTGCACGGACACGAGGACCAGGTCTGGAGCCCTACTCGGGCAGCATCTGAACCCAGGGCCGCAGCGGGCCGAGCGGGGGCGGGGCATTGGGCGCCTCGGGCCTGGCCCGGGTCAGTTTCTCTTCTCTAGCTCCCTCCCTCCCTCCCTCCCTCCCTCCCTCCTTCGGTGGGCGGGGCCCAGCCTGGCTGGGCCAATGGTTTTGCGGCATTCCTTCTGGGCCCCGCCCCCCGCCCGGCCTGCGGCCCGGGCCGTACCATAGTCGCGGCAGCGGCGGGGGAGGCGGGTTGGACGTTGGACGGCCGCACGGGCAGGGGCGGCCGCTCGCTCGCGGGCATCGCTGCGGGGCTCCCCCGAACCATTCTGGGGTGGTGCGGTCCGGGGCGGGGCCTGGCTGCGGGGAGGGCCCGCCGTAAGGTGCAGACCCCGGGGCGCGTGGGGCAGGCGGGCAGGCCCGGGAGCGGCAGGCGCAAGAGCGGAAGGGCCGGCGGCGACGCAGTCATGCGGTTCCCGGAGCGCTTCCCCTGCGCCCTCCTGGCGGCGGCGGCCGTGGCCATGGCCTGCGTGCTGGCCCAGCGAGCGCCCCCGGTGAGGCACGCGCCGCGGGGGGGAGGGGACTCACCTGCGCCCGTGCTGCGGGCGGGCAGACTGAGGCCCACAGGGGGTCGCCACTCCCGGGGAGGCGGCCAGGGGCTCCGGGCTCCTTGGGGGTCGCCTCCTGCCCCCACCGCTGCTGCGCTCGAGGTGGGCAGCGATGACCACTGAGGCCGGCAGCAGGGCTCGGGTCTCCCTCCCCAGCTTGCCTGGGCTGCGCGGGCAGCGGCCACTGGTGCGCCCCACCGGACCCGGCTGACCGGCAGGACAGCTCCCCCAGGGGTGCACCCCCCGGTGCTCCACCTCCCCGTAGCCCGGGCAGTGGTGCCAGGCCGCACCCACGCCCGGCGAGAATTCCTCTCCTGAGCCCATTGGCCGTTTGGGCTGGGTGACTGGACTGGTCGGTCAGGACAGCGCCGGAGAGCCGACCCGGAGCCGGGCTAGGGCAGGAAGAGCTCGGATGCTAGACCCCGCGGGGGGAGGGGGGGCTCCAGAGCTGTCCGTGGTCCTGGCCGGGCCCTCCGCCTTCGCAGGGACAGGGGCAGATGTGGGCTTGGAAGGAGTCCAGACCCGGAGATCTTACCCCGAGGGCCCAGCTGTTTCCTTTGTGCTCCTGTGTATTCTATTTTGTGCATTTAAGTCAGGGTTCGGAGCAGGGGCAGACCTCCTGGGGCTGCGAGGAAAGGGTAAGCCCCTGCGGGAGGAGGGGTCTGATGCACCCCCGGGGAGAAAGACCTTTTAAAAACTGATGGGAATCAGGTGGGTGAAGGCTGAGGTTTTGGGGACACCCGTATGGTAGAAAGAACACTGAGTTTATAGTTGGAAGGCCTTAGGTGCGGCCTTGGAAGCCCGGGTCAAATCCTGCCTCCCCACTTCAAGCCTTTTTGACTTGGGGCAAGTCACTTCTCTGGACCTCGGTTTCCTCCTTTGTAGAATGAGGGGGTTGGACCAGATGACCCTGTGTGTGTGTGTGTGTGTGTGTGTGTGTGTGTGTAATGGGAGCATAGTGGCTTAGGACATGACCCAGCATGGCCTCCTGGCCCTCTGGGATGCTCGTCCTGCCCATCATGGAGTGCTGGGGCCGTCCTTTAAGGGCCTCTACCACCCCAGGGATGCACTCCTCGCCATCCTGGTCTTGCCTGGGGAGGGGGGAAGACATGCTGGTATTTGGAATATGCTTCTCTTCTATCTTATTGCTGACCGGCACCGATCACCCCCTGGACATTCTCCCCTGGAAGTCCTGAGAGTGTCTCAAGCTCAGCATGTCCAAAGTAGACATCACCACCTCTCCCCCCAAGCCCTCAGCTCTTCCTAACCTCCCTGCGTCTGTCGGAGACACCCCCCTTCTTGTTCCCAACCTCAGAGTCACCTGGACCTTGCACCTTCCTAACCCCGCCTGGCAACCAATCAGCAAGCTTTTATTTAATGCGGCTGGTGCCAGGTACTGGACTGGGCTCAGAGACCCAAAGGAGAGAGGAACTCGTGTGTGGGTATTTGGTGTGGATGTGTTCGGACACAAACACACACACACACAGACACACACACAGGTGGCATGGGGAGATAGAGACCTGATGGCCACCCCATCTCCAGGGCTGCCTCTAGAAGTTAGGGGGAGGGCCGTACCAGCCCTGTCAGCACCCTGGTGGCAGAGGGGCGCACAGGACACAGGACAGCCACGCCCGGGCACTCTCCTTTAATCTCCTTTGGACAAGAGGAGGATGGGGCCAGAGTGCTCTTTCTCTGCCACACAGCCAGGAGCTCTCAGAACCCAGGCCACGTTTCCTGATTGCCCTTGCTGGGAGGATGACAGCCCAGGCTGGTTATACCATAGGGACACCGAGGGCCCCTTGGTGACACTCCTTTGTAAACAAGTCCGGGAGGTTCTGCAGAGGAGTGAAGGTGCAGGACTAGGGCAGAGTGGAATGAGCTGGGCAGAGTCCTCTCTGCAGGGCTGCAGGGCCGGCTCCCCTGGATCTGGGGCTCTGGGCAGCTCTCCTGCAGGTCCCCGTCTGCAGGCGCAGCTCTGGTCGTCAGTGCACACACAGAGACCCCCTCACCGAGACGCTGCCACGAACAAGTGGCACTAGGTGGTCTAGTGCCCAGCTCTTTGGCATCAGCCTGCTCCTCTCTCATGGATCCATGGAACTTCTGGGTTTTTGTTTTTGATAAAGAAGCGTCTGAGCTATTAGCGACAGCCCTAGGGGGAAAGAGCCAAGCTGTCCTTCTCGAGAACAGGCAGGGAAACCCCCTATGGGGCCTCTAGACGTTTGGTTTGATATGTGGTGGATGGTATGGGCCCGACCGGCAGGATCGTGGTAGGCTGGCTGGTCTGCACTGAGGCCGGCACCAGAGGCAGGTTAGCTCTCTGCTGGTTGGCACTCTGTCAGTGGTTTCTGTACCCTAGTGGGCAAGGTCATTGTCAGAGAATTGGGTTAGAACCATGGCTGCCTGGCCCATGCCTAGGTCCCCATCAGAGGAAACACATGTTCTACAGATGAGCCGAGCTGCAGAGGAAACACCAGATCATTTAATGGGTCTCCAAGGCCTCAGTGGAGAAAGTGACCCATCATTCTGAAAGTGATGATTGATTGATTGGTAGGCAGGGCTTTGATGAGATCTCTAACATCTCATTCCTGGGTCTCTTTCTCTCCAGTCCACAGCCCCCAGGCCCTCACCAGCTATGTGCCAGGGTCTGTGCTGGGCACCTAAGATACGCAGACAAAATGAACAGGCCCTGCCCTCAAAGGGCTTACCTTTCTTTTCTTTTTTAACTAGAAAAAACATATTCATATATAAGTAAATACAAGGTAATGGGTGGGGAGAGGAGGTAGTAGAATCCGGGTGATCGAGGCCAAAAGACCTCCTTCAGGAGCTGAGGGTGGCTTGACCTGAATAATGTTCCCCCTCCTGAGTACCCTGGTCATTAGGTCTTGGGTGCCTGCCCCATCTGGGGAAGGACACTTAGAGGCCCACAGCCTGTCCAGAGGAGGGGCAGCCAGAGCACAGAGCATTTGGAGGCGCTGAGGGCGATTTGGACCCGAGAAGAGACAACAGCTGTTCCCAGGTGCCTGCCACCCAGGGCCGCCGAGAGGGCGGAAGCTTCTCGTGGGGTCCGCAAAGTTCAGGTGCGCTCTCCTGTCAGTCCTCAGTCTAGGCTCTAAAGCAGGAGCCGGTTTCTGGAAACATCTTTAGCTGGGTGTGTTTGTTAAGTGTCCTGAACACAAAATACATTCCCAGCCCAGAGAATCCTTCCAGAGCATGTCCTCTGCCATGGCCTTTGAAAAACCAGGGTCATCTCTGTAGCTCGTGAAGAGGGGGACTTTGTGGGGAACGATGCCTTCCCAAGGCGCCTGCACCCGAACCAGAGTCCGAGCAGCCTGGAGCCCTCCAAGGAGGGGGCTCACGCCTTCCTGCCACCCCCACCCAAGCCATCACCTTCTCTCCACTGCTCCTTGCTCTACCCTTTGGGACCAAGCAGACCAGTTGACTCTCTCTTCCCTATGACCATCGCCTTTCGGATACTCGGATACCGTGCTGTTCCTTCCGGGTTTTCTCTATTCCGAGCTAACCATCCCTCGCCGTCGTCTGGCATGTTCCCTGGTCTCTGTGCTGGCTCAGCCTCTTCTGACATTCCCTCTTGTCTGGCTTTCCTAAAGTGTGGTTCCCAGAATTGAGCCCAGGAGTCCAGATGTGGGTACCGCAGGGCCAAGGTCAGCTGGAGAGTTCACTCTTCCTCAGTGTGAGCTTTTTTGCTGGCCGTCTCAACTTGCAGATGCCTCTAAAACTCCAGTTGTTTTTTATGTGAACTGTTGTCTCACCATGGCTCTGCCATCTTGTATTTGTCAAGTAGATCCTTGGGATCTGAGCGTGACATCACACCCACATCCCTGTTAAATTTCATCTTGCTCAGTCGAGCCATCTCTCGGGTCTTGGGCCTGAGATCTGGTATCCTAGCTCTCCCTCCAGGTTATATGCCATCTACGAATGTGATAAACACGTCATCCATGCCTTTGTTCAAGCTGTTGGATAAAACGTTGGCCAGTCTCAGGTCAAGGGCTTCACGAGAGACCGCTGGTGAAAAATTCCAGGTGGAATTTTTATTGACCACTCTGAGTCTTCCGATCACTTCCAAATCCATCTCTCTGATTCAGTTAGACTTTTAAGTCGCTCACACCTCCCTATTTTATCCCCAAGCAAGGCATGACTGTCATCGTCAGATGAGTGACTGAAGTCCAAGGCCCTTGTTAGGTCCACAAAATTCCCCTGATCTACTGGTCCAGTTACTGGGTGAAATACAAGGCCAACTGCCGTGCTGGTTGTTGGTGATGACTGCTTCCCTCGTGTGCACTGGGGTTTTGCCCCCCGAAATTAAGCACACTGATTTCTCTCTGATTTCCAGACTGTATTCTCTTTGTTGAAAATGAAGTTTGGTTCTTGGCACCTCGGGCCCTTCTCCAAGGTTTCAAGAATCACGGACTGTGGTTCAGACTGCGACTGCCTGTTTTTTCCACTTGAGGGTGCAGTTCATCTGGCCCCAGTGGCTAGAACCCTTTGGGGCCGGCTGGATGGCTCCCCAAGTTATTTTTGGGATCCACTCACCGTTAGCTTGGGCAGCTAAGTGGTGCCATATGGATAGAGTGCCGGGCCTGGAGTCAGAAAGACTCATCTTCCTGAGTTCAAATGTGGCGTCAGACACTTCCTAGCATGTGACCTTGGGCAAGTGACTGCACCCTGTTTGCCTCAGTTTCCTCATCTGTCAAATGAGCTGGAGAAGGAAATGGCCAACCGCTCCAGTATCTCTACAAAGAAAACCCCAAATGGGGGCACAAAGGGTCGACACAACTGAGCAATCCCATTAGCCGCGTCCCAAGCTCGTTGTCCTTGGAAGACGGCCCTCGGGTCAGCCGTCTCCACACGGGGTCCCTCACCTTGTCCAGGCTCCAAGACAGTCCCCAGACTTCATTCCTGGGGCCGCCACCTCCGCCTCGGGGCTT